AGATCGCATGCCGACAACTTTCCACATCGCCTGTATAAAGTCGCAAGATGCAGTCAAAACATTTTAATGATATTAAAGGCGACAACAGGGCATTCTCTGTTGAAATATTATATACACATGGAACGTCCCCTAAAATCACCAGAATGCTAATTTAAGAAATGTCAATTTTCCCTCGTATAAATCATTATTAGATTTGTATCACACAATTTTATTTAGCAAAATCTATAATATAACAATTATTTGTCTCGTTAATTATTTTTTGTTAATTATTATTCATATCAAAAATTATTTCCATAATCAAATTTTTTTAAATTACTTTTATAGCTTTCTTTATTAAAGAACATTTTTATCTTTTTAATTATTAAACAAAGTGAAAACATGCGTGTGCGCGCGCGCTCCCCTTTTGCTAATCTTATTTTCGTACTAATCGATAATGCTTACGCGTCCGAGGTAGACAAAGGAGCAACCACAATTGCGAAGTACAAGGTAAAAGTTTGCGCGCGTTGAAATTAAAGATAGAAGAGACAGTATATGTGAATCTCGAGTTATCTCGTTGACGTTATATGGGTGGAAACGCAAATGCGTCATTTCTTTGAGCATTGACTAAGTCCGCTAACTAATGTTTCAAATTGATCCGTGAAACATCTAATTAAAGAACTAGCTTTTAATTCGTGAAAATAATTCGTGAAAATGAGGATCATAAAAAGTCTTTCACTCGTAATAATAATCGTATTAATTGTAATAATCTTATTAACTTTTTCCATTTAATTTATCTCATTGTATATGTAAGAAATATAGTTTAGAAAATATTGAAATTTTTTTTCTACTGGCGAAGAGAGATAAAAGTATAGAGATTACGAGTAAAGTTCGAACGATAGATAACAATCACGTATTGGAATCTGGATCGAATGGAGTTTCGAAACTTCCGTCTGTCATGACAAGGATCACAAATGACTGTAATATCGCATGAAAAATACGAAACTTTCGGTTCCGATTTCAATCGGCGATATTAATCTTCCGCTCCATTTACAATTTAAGATTTAATCAGAAAATCATTTCTTTCATTTTGTTTTTTCAAATCCTGAAACAATCCGGATTTGTATACTTTATTTTCTATCGTTTTTTATAGAGCACTCATAAAATTTTATCTCGTTAAAAAAAAGAAAAAAAAATTATAATAATACATATATAAATTTTAATATACAGGGTGGTCCTCGTAACGGTCGCCACGATTTTTAAGGCACTTACAATAATCTGACATAAAAAAGTCATAAACAGAAATTTATCAGTTTCTAACCGGCAACAAATTGCAAGAATAAAAATTGACCAAACATTTTCCATTTAAAAAA